GGTATCATTGATGTCTCTGTTTACTATTTTGCATATTAAAGTTAAAGTTAAGTATCTTTCGATGGACAAAATTAACTTAAACTTTTCAAGTTTAAGTCAAGCCAAATATTTTCCGTGGACATAGTATTACTTCTCTTCTATTTTTAAATTATAATATTAAGTATAAAACTGTGAATTATTATTACGAATACGTGTAATGTACTAAATATATTTTTTGAAAATTTTAAATACAACTAATGTATATACAGTATTCTGTGCATATGCAGTATATACAGTATTATAATTAATAAAAACGTTGTTCTCTGTTTGTTCTCTTTTTTCTTACATATAAGATCACGACCTGGTCAGCCTAACTGTATGTATTCATTTATATTTAAATTAACATTATATTAACAATAATAGAAAGTTTAAAAGAAATAATAATAAATAAAAATAACGCTAAAGTCATTATAAAATAAGTTTATGTCAAATGAAATCAATTTAAAATTTTATATATTATATTTCATAAAATACTTTAAATCTAGAAATATATTTTCTAATAAGAACTGAATGAAATTCTTGATAAAATGTTTTGTAGTCTAACTTAACATTCAGAATGCAAAAGTACTGTATACTGTACTTTTGTAGTAATGCCCTATAATACATATGCTCTACAAAATACAAATACAGTACAAGTATTGTTGAATGTTTTGCTTTAAATCTAAAGCAAAGCAAATAATAGATTATATTTTGCGATCAAAAAGTCATTCAATTTATAGTTTACAAATTTTGTAGTTGTATATAAAATTTCAAAACAATTGTTTTGTAACTAATTTCTTATAAACTATTTTTTGATAGTTTAAAAATAAAAGAATCAATATTTTTATAATATTTTCAAAAACTCCTCGTTTGCTATCAAATACAGTTCTGTTGTGCAAAATATTAAAGGCTTTTATAATGTTTGCCATTTGAGTTATACAGTGTTTTAGAAATTATTTTAGAAATTTCAATTCAGTATAACATTTATCAAGATAATATTCCTAATATCTTTAATTTTTAATATAATAAAATATATTTTATAAACCACACATCATTTCATAGTTATAACATAATTCCCATAAATTTCGTATACATAAAATAGTAAATTGTAAGTTTTTACAACTATTTAGCATTAATTTATAAGTTTATATATACGAAATTTATGGGAATTATAACTATGAAATGATGTGTGTTATAAACACAATTCAAAGGTTAGGTGTGTGTAAATATTGCCCACATTTTTTAAATACTGACAAAAAAACCCTAAAAACTTTTATTACAAATACTTTTAAAATGTGATAATTGAAATATTGTGTAAATTAAAATAATTGATTTAAAGATATCAATTCAATTTTAAAACTGATTCTACGTATATTATTAACCAGAATTCAATTGTACGTAAATTAAATAAACTACTTAATATATAAAAATTTTAATCAAAAGTTAAAGATTAAATAATTCAACCATAATTTATAATAAAACCATGAAATCCGATAATATAGTACTTTATATTATATTCTTTTTCTAAACCACAATCATTTTATTTCTAATTTTCAAAATCAATGTTTAAAATGAAATACAGAGAGAGAGAGAGAGAGAGACAGCACAGAAGTTTGACTGTATCTATAAAACTCTTTGATGACATTAAAGTGATAGACTTTAATGCATCAAAAATTGATGGCTTTTGTTGAAGAGAGAGAGAGAGAGAGGGGGAGAGAGAGAGAGAGCGAGAACAAAATGTTGAGTGTCTAACAAATTGGTTAATTGAATAATTTAAGAGTGAATTTTGTCAATCAATTGAATTAAATTAGTGTTTTGGGTTTGTTCTGCGATTACAAAAACAATAAGTACAACAAAAGCCATCAATTTTTGATGCATTAAAGTCTATCACTTTAATGTCATCAAAGAGTTTTATAGATACAGTCAAACTTCTGTGCTGTCAACCTTATATGCTGTCAATTTTTCTATGTTATCAACAAAATCCCAAAACCCAAATACACACTACATAGACATAAGGTTAAAATAATTTCTATGCTGTCAACTTCTATGTTGTCAACTAATCTATGTTATCAACCAAATGCCCTGGAACCGTTTTGTTGATAACATAGATGTTTGACTGTACATTATTGTACTGTATAACTAACAACTTGTAAGTACTATAACTAAGCTCACAGTCTTATCTTGTTTAATTTTTGAAATAGTAGTAATAGGTGTTGATTGACGCAAACCATTGTCATCTCAGGCAATGTTCTCCAATTATGATGAAAATAATGGATAAGAGGTGTTCACAAATGTTGTGAATGTGTTGCTATTGATTACAATTTGCGTACATTTGTAGACTTAAATGGCATCAAATATTTTGGTAAAAAAAATGGTGAGAAAACAATAAATATATTTTACAGACTATTCTTTAACTTAAAAATGTCTTAAATTTGAGTAAAAATATAAAATGTGCTGAAGTTTACTCTTTATTAAAGAAATCTTTACTTAAATTTTCTATTTTATAAAATATTGTGTTAAACAAACATTTTGAAACTTTTTTCAATTTAAACAATTTTGTGTTTTTTGCAAAATTGTTGACAAATGTTTGGCTATTATTTTAAGCACTATTATAATACAGCGATTTCAGCAAATTTTTATATTTATTAAATACATCCAAAATTGAGATATTTTGAAGTATGCTTTGAAATTTTAACCATCAATAATATAGAGTGCTTTTAAATATATTATATTAGTCAATAAATGTTGGATATTTTGCTGTGTAATAGAACTTTGTGTGTTATACATTAACTTATATAAATATACGTTTAATATAATTCGTATAGAATTTTGCATAATTATATACAGTGTATTAATATAGATAAAATATTTGATCTAATAATAAAAAATCATATTTTTGCTGTACTAAATTAAATAATGTATAAGAATCCTGATTTGTATTTGTGAACTACAATTTTTTAATTTATGAATGTCTTAATATTGTAATTCTGTTCATAGTTCATAAACATTAATTTGAATGTTGTTTAACAGCGGTTACAATAATATAGTCATAATTGAGTCGAACGGGACTTTCATCGGTTAGTTCTTTAGCTTCAAATTGTTTGTAAATATAGTCTTCATTTACGAGTTGGAAATATTCCGACAAAAATTCTTCTCTTTTCTCTTCGGGAATAAATGGCAGAAAATGACACAACGCTTGCAATACGTCTATAAAGTGAATAATTATTTAAACAAATATTAATTTGCAAATTCTCTACTATTTTGTCAATTATTTTGTCTAGTATTATAATGAAATACAATCACTATTAACTGGATATTCATATTACTAAATTTTAAGCAAGATTAATGTTTGTATAATCATAAGATTGTATTAAGTTATAGAGATTACTGTAGTTAATAAATAATGAATTACCTCTAAACTGTTTTAGAGAATCAAACTCATAGAAAGTATGCGTTAAGACTGTTTCGGACACCATTAAGCCATTGTCTGCACATAACTGTTGCCATTTGGATATTAATTGGTCTTCCTTTGGGGCTTCAAAAACAGGAAACGGTGCCAAATGTTCACTCAATCTACGAATTGTTTCCCGCGATTTTGGTGTAATTTTTGTCCCTAATTATAATTAGAGATTAAGTCTATTATTATACTATATTTAATACAATTTGTTACAAATATTTAAATACAATTTTTGGGAATGGCATAGAAATATTGCTGCCATTTGTCCATTAAAGCCATTTTTTGTTGAATGGGAAGCAAATCACTCCAAGAGAAGAGCAATATATAACAATGGCCTCCTATTCCAGAACATAACAGTTACTGTTAATTAATATAAGATTTTATAAAGTTCATAAAATTATAAAAACCTGGTTTTAAAAGTTTATTTATATTTTTCATGGCTTCGTCCAAATCTGAGACCCAATGGAGACAATAAATTGATAAAATTAAATCAACGCTCTCTTCACGTAAATTTAATTTCTCATTGAGTTTAAGCCATTCTTCACATATATCTGCCGTTAAATATTTAACTGAATCTCTTTTAAAATTATTGTTTGCAAATTCAGTCATTGTTTCGCTTATATCAATGCCGATAAACTCATCATAAGATAATTTGTCAGCCAATTCATCGCTTATATTTCCAGTCCCACAACCAATGTCTACAACCGTCTCAAAATGTCTTAATATATTTTTAAAATAATATATTAAATAAATTAGATGACAATCATTTCATTCATTATTTAATGGAAAATTGCTTTAAAAAAGGTTTTAATTAAAAAGCGATTAAATACTCACTTATTGTGAAAGTCATGAACAATTCGTTGAATTAATCGCTTGCCATCTCTTCTTTGCAAATAATTGCTGTCGTTATATAATTCTGGACTTATATTCATGTCTCACAATCTCTTATCACTTCTAACGTTATATTATATAATAATAACAATTCAAAGAGTTTTACTTTACTATTTGAAGTACTTTTCATGTTAAGGTCTCAATATATATATACTTTAAACTAATTATAATTTTAAATTCAATATATTTATACAAATATATTTATAATTAATATACCCTTAAAATAGAAGATTTAAAAAGTTTTATTTAAAGAAATAAATGAATCAAAAAGTTAGGAAAAAGTGAGTGGTGTGTGCATCGAGTCTTAGAGGATCTAGTTGACAAGCTAGGTCATTTCACTAATATTTGCATTTATTATCATATGCATATTAATATAAATGCATAATTAAATTAATGTATCCGTTTGTTGTCTAATTGATCATAAATGCTATTATTAACAACAATTAGCAATAAATAGTGTATTTATAAATGCAATCAAATATACTGTCAAATATATGAAATGTTTGTGTAATCGCGACATCTATTGTGCAAAAAGCAATTAAATGTCAATTCATTCTCAATCGCAACAAAACACGAGTTATTAATACGAATATTGCATTCATTATGCAATCATTTGAACAATTATTAGCAAATGTATGACTCAATCATATATTAGTGTCCAATACATCACTTCATATGCAATAGAGGTATGAATTGATAATCAATTGATTGATTCAAACAAGCCTTACATACAGTGTATATTGTATTGAATGTATTGTCCGTTTCGTTCATTTCTCCAACAGTTACACAATTGTATTGCTTTCCAGTGAATATACTATAGTATTGTACGTGTATTATATTGTAGTGCGAAAGTGTGAAAGTGTGCTGGTCATTTGCCTATCACAATTAGTTGCTAGCTCAATGTAATTTTTGTTAATATCAGTATATGATATTCATATGATGAATATGAGCAAATAATGTACATGTATAATACTTATTATGTTTAATAATGATGATGGTTATGATGGTTACTAGCATTGGTTGTCATTTAATTAATAAACAGTATATATGGGTATAACAGGTATAATAGGTATGTTATTAAGGATGATATGATTGGTATGAATGGTTTGAACAAAGATTTGTATGAAGTGTTGAGAGGAATACATGCGCGCAATGGATGAGGAGATGATGTGATGCTATCAATGCTATACTACTATACTATCAAATGGTATACTATTATAGCGAATGTTATATAATGTAGAAAATAGTGATTTTGGATCGATTAGTGAAAAACTGGTGAAATCCAGTTTGTATTGCAGTCATAGACCAGAATCTGACGCAACTTACAGTGAATAATGGCATAGGAATTGACTTTTCATATGATTTCATTCGCATTACACATATTTTGAAATTATGCCACTTTTTGCTCAATTCTCTCATTTTATATTTTCAAGTTATTTATTACAATTGGAAATTAATAATTGAATTATTATTGCGTTGACAGTAATTGCGGTCATGACTATCGACGGCCCAGAATTAGTTGTGTTTGATTTTGACGAGACAATAGTTGACTGTAATTCAGACACATATATCAATGAATTGGCCACCGATGGCGTCATTCCCGAAGAGATTATGAATAAATACTACGATCACAACAATTGGATTGAATACATGAGACAAGTTCTCACATATCTTCACAAAAGCGGTGTTACAGAAGAAGAGCTGCGGAATTGTCTCAAACGAATGCCACTCATCACTGGTATGAAAGACTTGGTCTCTAATCTCAAGAACTCAGGTCCACAGAAATACGAACTGATTATCATTTCCGATGCAAACACTCTATTCATTGGACAGTCTCTCGAATTCAATCAATTGGATAAAGCATTCCGGTATTCATTTCTCCGCAATTCTCCTTTAATAGCAATTGTTTTTCTTTATTAACACAATTAGCGTTACAGTGAAAACTCTGTGTTGTGAACATTCTATGCTATGAACTCCTCTATGTGAACCAAATGCCCGGGACCTGACCTCACCTTTTTTATTCACAACACACAGTTCCGACTGTATTTATAATCTAGTATTTACAATTAAATTACTTCAAAATTGTATAATTATTTAATTACTACATGCTAAACCCTTGATATTATTGTTTATTATTTTCCATTTTGATGAGATTCAAGTATTTTTTACTCATTTTTAATCAATTATTATATTTTAGACAATTTAGAGTTAATTAACAAATGTGTATATTTGGCTAATTAAAGCTAAATAAATCTAAAATCTATAAATAAATAAGTAGTAGAGTTTATAACAAGATAATTCAAAATGTTAACATAGTTATATAGTATAGGTTATTTTTATTTAGTTTTTAAAGTAATAAGCTAACGTGAAAGTACATCATTTGCCAAATTGTTAGTCAATCGCAGTGCAATCGTCATATATTCGGTATAATTTAAATTCAACATTCTTAACACTAGTGCTATTATTTTGTTTAATACTATACTGTACTTAGTACAGTGTACTACATACATTTATGTTCTATGTATATACTTAGAATAATGTAATGATAAATAAATCTAGTTGTACAGCTGTGTATACTAGAATATAAAATGTATCTAACTGGATTATATAATTGATTGGCAGCAAAGTATACACAAATCCTGCAAAATTTGATGGGAATGGATGTCTTCAGTTGGAAGGATATCACGACCAGAATTGGTGCGATATTTCATCCATTAATCTCTGCAAAGGATTTGTTTTAATGGATTACATCGCGAAACGCAAAATAGAGGACAACATTATCTTCTCTCGAGTCTCATATATAGGCGACGGAAACAACGATATCTGTCCGGCACTCAAACTTACACCAAATGATCGAGTCTTTGCCAGAACTGGTTATCCGTTACACAAAAAACTTGCTATGAATCCAGAATTTAAGGCACAGTTTTATCCATTTGTTGCTGGAAATGACATCTGGAATGTATTAGAAAGTCCAACACTAACTAATAACACTATTATTTAGACTTTTATTTATTATTAACTTAAATTGTATTTAAATGTACAGTATTATAGAGTATTAGCTTCAATTAATAAAGAAACAATTTAATAGTTATACCTATAATTAATTAGTTGACAAAAATACTGTAGACTCTAGTGTAGAGCCTTTTAATTCTCTCATTTCTCAAACTTGATTATTGAATTGATTTTCGGTTATAATTATTTATATTAAAAGTCAATTCATTCATTCCGTCCTTAATTCTCATTATTTGTGACCTCAATTCAGATAAAAATAATGTGGTCATAGCATCGTTCGGCACCCCTTCCCCGGCCCCGCTCTATGGCATTACAGCTGAAGTTTATGACAAATGTTTAACATGAGTAATTCACAGTCTATGGTCAATGCTAATTCTATGGGTAATGTTATCATTATGTGTATCATGCTAATCCTATGGGCAATGCTAAGTTTATGGATAGTTTATAGATCTATAGTCATATTAAATGTGTAGATAATGCTAATCAATTCTTTGAGCAATACCCGAATTGTGGTTAACCTATAGATATCACTGATCCGCGTGTGAGTTGTTTATTCATTTCTTTAGAGAATCTAATAATAATATTATAATTGTTAACTAAAGTGATTGTATATTAATATATAAATATATAATTAATCAAATACTCTATATTAAAATTAACTCGTTTTTTAAACAAAAATTATTTCAAATGAGTAAAAAAGACAAATTTTAATAAAAGCATTTAAAAGGTTTAAATAAATGCCAAACATTATGTAATACTTGAATTCATGGAATAATTAAAAATATTTTAAAATTAATATAATATCTGTGATAATATTAATACTGTATGTTTGAAATAAAATACTGTACAGATATGAATTACGCACATTTTGTACCGTATGATTGATGAAAATGATTGTTGCTATCAATTATACTGCAGATAGAATGAACCCAAAAGACACTCAATGAAAGATACTGTTTGACAATAAGTGTGGTCTTACTTCTCAAAGGTAACAAAGTGTACACTAGTGTACAATAGTGTATAACCCCATTATAAGTCGCTATAAGCCATTATAAGATGTTTGAAACACCAGTCGCTCTTATGGGTACATTCATGTTCTTATGGATGTATATTGTGTTGTGAATTAATGGAAAATATTTTAGGGCATTCATCCCAATTCAATTTTATATTTCCCACAATTTTGAAAATCAATTTATTTGAAAGTTTTAATAAATTAAAGATACGGTATACAGAATTATACAATGAATTAGTTATTAATTATTAGTGGGTTTTTGTGACAATTAGTTTTCATTTAATAAACAAGACGTACAATCTAGCATTTATTAAAAACCAGTATAAACTTTATAATATAAAATATATTGAAATTTACAAGAATTTGATTTGTGTAAAACAGATAGATGATTTGCAAATTGCAATACAACTCTACTCAATGTGGTATACAGTAGTCTCTGATGATTGATAGCCTTGGGAATAGTTAGCCTCAAACATATTGTCCTTGAGATTTGAAATTTACATTTATTTTTGTGTTAATAAATGAGAATATTTAGCAAATTGTGAACGCATTTCAGTTTCACTCTTCTGTTTCGTGTATTCTTTCATTTCAATATAAATTGAAATAGTAATCGATAGCAAAAGTATGTCTTCGTTTACAATTGGAAATGTGTTAATCACTGAATCTGTGGATCAATTGGCTGTTGATATATTAAAACAGAAAAATATTCCAACGGATATCAAAACTGGTTTATCAAAAGAACAACTCATCGAAACCATAAAGGTTTGTAAAGATGTCATGTTGACCATGTGGATCATGTTGATCATGTTGAATTAACGACATTGTCATTGACTAATTAGGATTACGAGGCACTGATTGTGAGATCGGCCACAAATGTAACGGCAGATGTGATCAATGCAGGCAAGAAACTGAAAGTAATCGGTAGAGCGGGTGTGGGAGTGAACAATATCGATGTGGACGCGGCCACCAAACAAGGCGTTATTGTCATTAAGTATTACGACCAACATTAGCATCATTTACAATACTATAGCCTGTGTTTGTATATTGTAGTGCTCCGGGAGGCAATACAATCAGTGCATGTGAGCTGACATGTACTATGATTTTATCCCTCTCGCGACACATCACTCAAGCCTGTGCTTCGCTTAAGAGTGGTGTTTGGGACCGAAAAAGTTTTTCTGGCAATGAATTGTTGGGCAAAACATTGGCGATCATAGGTTTAGGTCGTATCGGGAGAGAAGTGGCCACAAGAATGCAAGCGTTTGGTATGAAGACCATTGGATTTGATCCGTTAGTTTCGGCCGATGTGAGCAAAACATTTGGTGTGGAGAGCTTTCCATTGGACCAGATCTGGCCTCAGGCCGACTACATCACTGTTCACACTCCACTCATTCCTCAAACTAAAAGTGGGCTCTCATTCACTCTCATTCACATCAAAGTAGTGACTAATGAATGCAATATTTGTTATTAGATCTGTTGAATGACAAAACTCTGGGTGAGTGTAAGAAAGGGGTGCGACTGATAAACGTTGCGCGCGGAGGCATCATAGAAGAGGAGGCGCTCTTACGGGCCCTACAGTCAGGACAAGTGGGCGGCGCAGGACTCGATGTGTTTGAATCAGAACCACCGAAACGAACTCAACTAATAAGTCACCCCAAAGTGATTTGTACACCACATTTGGGCGCGAGTACTGCTGAAGCCCAGATCAATGTGGCCAAAGAAATCGCACTCCAGTTTTTGGATCTCATTGATGGCAAATCAATCCACGGATGCGTTAGTATAATAACTATACAATAGTTGATACTGTATTTCATTTAAATACAATACTAACATTTGTTTTGATTTCTTAGGTAAATGCTTCTCTTCTTCCCAAACATTAAACTACTAAATAATATGCGAAAAATTTGAATAATTGTTTCTAATATTAATTATTAAAATGTTATATGAAATGATTTTTATTCAATAAATATTTCAATACTTATATATTTCTAGACTTTGGATAAAATATTCTTTTGAATAGAGAGTAAAAATGTAAATTGGAAATCTAAATATAGAGTTGACTTATCAATAATAAAGTCAATAAATTATATAATATATTAACATTTCTTTTGTGACAAAACCTAACATTTGAGCACAAGTTTGAAATCATTAGTGTTTTATCTCTCGGGAGAAAAATTCCAAAATAAGAAAAATAGGTTTTGATAACTAAGAGCTGAGCAAAAGGTTTGGTGTTATTATGAAAATGAGAATCAGAAACCTTAGTGACAATGAGTGCGCACAGGAATGCCATAAATTGATCTTTTTTGCCATTAAATCACAGAATATCCAATACTTGTTGCTCTTCTTATGACACTTCTTTGGAACTAACAGTTTGTATCCAATGATAAGACATTTTTATTATATAAAAGCAGAGTTCAAATGAAATTCATTTCAAATTGAGTTACTTTATGATTGAACATTTTATTTGTCATCGAAATCGATATTGAATTCACAAAACTATTTATTCTGTCTATAATTTCCATTTGAATTCAGTTAAAGTTTTATAACTAACTTTAATTAACTTGATATCAACTGATTAATTGTCAAAACTGTAAAAAGTATTTTTGGACCAAACAATGGCTCATTTAAGACGACTTCATTTCCAGAATCGCAAGTATTGCTCGACTATATCTGCCGCCAGTTTACCTGATTTTAGCGATTCTTATTTGGAGGAAATAAAAGTAAGTTTCAATTCAGTGTAATGTTGGTTATGATTAAATCTGATTGTCATTATTTATCAATAATTTGTCAGTAATCATTGTTTTTGTTGTAACATTAAAACGTTTAATAATTATTATTTAAAATAGAGTACAAAAACATAATATAGTAAATAACTATAAATATAACCAGATTTTTATGCGAAACTTCAATCAGAAAAAGATTCGCAAAATAACAGAAATCGACGAAACAATTGAAACAAATGGCATTTCAGAGCCAAAGGTGTCGTTATCGCAAAGTGGTAGCAATCAATCACAGTGTGTGTCCGAAGTGGTCGGAAATGCAGTCATATTCTCTCTTAAGAATCAGGTCGGAGGGCTTGTTAGAGCTCTGAGGGTATTTCAGGTCTGTTTTCATATTTCATATCTTATTATTACTTATTGTTAATTATTCTCTAAAGGAATTGGATATAAATGTTAAACATATTGAGTCCCGTCCTTCAAAAAGACGAGATTCAGAGTTTGAGATATTTGTTGACATCGATTGCGATGACAAAGAAAAGATGACACAATTAGTACATCATTTAAGGTACATTTATGCTACTTACAAGTCAGATTTTCAAATAAAGTAAAATGAACATTTAAGTTAAGCATGTTATCTAGCAGATAAAAATGTTGAATGAATGATTTTCTTGTAAAATATAAAAAATATTAAAACCAATAAATGTAAATTAATATAGTTTTAAGATTTTGTTTGACAAATTAAAATTTGGGAGTAAGTTTTTAAAAATAAAATATACAACATGATATATGCTGACGTAATTATAATGAAATACTAAATGACATATTCTATATAATATTGAGTAGACATGAGGTCGACGGCTGTACTTCTGAGGAATTCGAGCGCTCATCGCCTAAAAGCAAAGAAAAAATACAATTATCAGTCCTCATGACACAGCCCTCTATAGATACGGGTATTTTGCATAACAGTTGATACACATCTAGTATTCATGAAATAATTATACATTTTGTTGACACAAACGAAGAGTTGTTGGGAGAGAACGGAATGCCGTGGTTTCCAAAACGAATCTCAGATTTGGACTATACTTCCAATCGAGTCTTAATGTATGGCTCAGAACTCGATGCCGACCATCCGGTTTGTTATTCCACCTTATCTACATTACATTACATCTTTATATCACTTTTAATACAAACATACTTGATACTTTAATAATTAAATATTAATATTAATACAACAATTATTTAACTAACAATTAAATGTCACCCAAAAAGATTTGATTTTTAATTATTTTTTATAATTAGGGGTTTAAAGATCCGGTTTATAGAAAAAGAAGAGAATATTTTATAGAATTGGCCACAAATTATAAACAGTAATTATATTATTCTTTGATTGCTATTTATAATTACATGTGTATTAATTAATTGTATAATTTAAGCGGTGATTGCATTCCTCGGGCGCAATATCTCAAAGAAGAGGTTTGTTTCAAATTACAATTTACAAATTATAATTTGTAAAATCAACAATAGTTACTAACTGTCATTTAGTGTGCTATACGTGGGCTCAAAACCTATGACTAGGAGAGAGAGAGAGAGAGAG